AAAAAGATGAAGAAGCAGGTCTCTCTACATCTCTGAATTGTGTGCATGTTTTGCCAACAAGAAGTAGAACTGTTTTCTTTACTGAATCTGCTGTTTTTTTTAATGGCTAGACATTGTCACAAACTTGCATTCATTCAGTTAGTTAACTAATATGTTTTGGGCTCCTACTATGTGCCAAGCACTCTTTATGCATCCCCCACCCTAAAAGTAAATAAGTAAATAAGTAAATAAGTAAATAAGTAAATAAATGAATGAATGAAGCCATGACTTTGCAATGGAGGAAATGTTATATTAATAACTCATCTTGTTATACTATCAACTCAAGCACTTTTAAATAAAAAAGGTTGAACACAAACATTGTTATACTTCAGTGATACTTTTGGTCACCGTTTTGGAATCAGTGCCTATACTCTCCAGGTCAGGTAAATAACATACTACATATCCTCAAAAAAAAAAAAAAAAAAAGTAAAGAATGAGTAAAAGTACTTCGTGGCTATTGGAATTGACCTTGCTGATAATCAAAGTAGGTTATTGCTTAAGTGATCTGAATTAAGATTAAATACCCCCTCTCTCTCCAGCCATCTAAAATATACCCTATCATTTCTTTAAATTTTAACAATTAAAGATTCATTTAAGCTATTGGGAGTCCTTCTTCAACATACAAATCTGCCTGGGAAAGCTAGCCGTTATTAGCGTTACAAAGCATACCCATTTCAATCAGGTTGCTCTCCTCTTACAGTTTACTTTGGTGCCCTCCTAACCCTGACCCCACCCCCCCAAGATTCTTTGTGGATCCAGGGGTCCGTAATTTTGGAAGGGTATCAGGATCATGGTCTAGGCCTAACTGCATGCAGCCTGTATTCTGGCTTGTCTGGACCCTCCTGGAAAGATGCTAATCCTAATGGAGGGTTTATGAGCATGGTCCATGGTTCAGAGAGGTGATTCAAGGTACAGCGTGATGCCTGTCTCTCTGACTGTCCCCCCGACTGTCTTCCTCATTACACTCGTGTCTATGTCCTGGCATGAGCTGACTACAATAAAAGGGTGAGAAGAAACAAGATGAGGTTCTTGCACTGGGCTCTCTGAGGACTTGAGGAGCACCCGGGTATTGGGGTGAGCAGTGTCTGCAGAGACCCTGGGACAGACAGACATAGGGACTCTCTGTCCTCAGGGCCTTTGACTTCAGCACAGACGTGGGCACACCAAAGCATCAGCAGGGGCACCTTCAGTTGGACATAACAAAGCATGTTTGTAAGTGGTGGGATCTTCCAGAATTATTTGGGAATTTCCACACAGCAACTGAGAATGGAGCAATAGCAAAAATCAATTTGTAACAGCTGTTTATGTGCAAAACCTGGGATTGTGAAGAGGAAAAAACCACTCCTAATGCTCTTCTAAGCCAGAAGTATAACTGAAGAGGCAAAGCCTAAAATCTTGCAGCATTTGGGGTTTCAGTTACTTCATTTGTACAATGGGAATTTTACTTGCTGACACCTACCTGCTTGGTAACTTGGAAACTAGATACACAGCATGAGCACACTCATATTCTCAAGCAGAACTTAAACCCACTCACAAATATTAATGTTTTAGATTTTAATGAGGAGGGGAACTTATTTTTAGTCTTAAAACTCGCTCATTTTCTAAAAGTTAGCACTTTTTTACCTTTTTCACTGGTTATGATTTCCGTTTTAGTTTTTATACAGCAACTGGATGAGAGGGAGAAATAAAAAAAGAGAATCAAAAAAAGATAATCTGATTTCTTTGAGATGAAAAAAGATACTTTAAGCAATGTTATTGCCTTTTTTAAAGATTTATTTACTTTTGTTTTAAGATTTTATTTATTCATTAGAGAGAGAGAGCGCATGATCAGGGGGAGATGCTGAGGGAGCGGAAGAAGTAGACTCCCCACTGAGCAGGGAGCCCGATGAGGGGCTCGATGCAGGGCTTGATCCCAGGACCCTGGGATCATGACCTGAGCCAAAGGCAGACGCTTAACAGACTGAGCCACCCAGGTGCCCCTAAAGAGAGAGAGAGAGAACAAGCAAGTGTGCAGGAGCTGGGGGAGGAGCAGAGGGAGAGAGAATCTCAAGCAGACTCCCTGCTGAGCCTGGAACCAGAGGCGGGGCTTGATCCCACAACCATGAGATCATGACCTGAGCTGAAATCAAGAGTTGGATGCCTAACCAGCTGAGCCACCCAGGGGCCCCAAAGTTATTGCCTCTTTACCATATTTCTCAAAGAAATAAGAATCTACGGTTTTCTCTGTTATGATCAAGTTTGCATGAAACAAAGATCCCATCACAAAGTAAATGAAAGGTACATAGTGTTGTACAAACGTTTCTGTTAAATTTCCCAGTGGAAATGTTAGTTAAAGATGAATACAATGTCAAGTTGCTAAGGACCTTAGGCTCATCTAAAGCAGCTCCTTCATTTTACAAAGGAGAAAAACAATGTCCAGAAACTTGTCATTTATGGACATCTGAGAGTCACGGAGTGGCAAAGCGGGAACCAGGTGTCCTGTGTGCCCCATGCCTGTTCTCAAGGCACTCCCCTCCCCCTCCCCCATCACACACACACACACACACACACACACACAGTGCATCACACAGTGCATTGCTCACATTTTCTTCGAAAAGTAAACAACATTTAACATGTGATTTAAATTAGGAATGGGACTGAAAAGTCAAGCGTGTGAGAGAAATCGAAACACTTTATGGGACTACTGATGCCAACAAATTACATCCTTTGGAATTTTGCCTGCAGTGGAGCTTTTAGGGGATCTGGAGACTGAATTCAGTTCCCTAAGCCAAACATTCAACAGGACAGTTGCACAATCAGGTTACCTTGAGTGTAACGGCAGCACTGGATTAGAGTTTTGTCTTTTCATTTCTGTCTCGTGACAAGTTTTGAGAAAAAAATAATAAAGCACTACATGCTAGTAAAGGGGGAAGAATGTCTATCAACCTGGAATAATCACTTCTACTATGACATTTCTGCTGGCACAATGCCCTAATCTAGGCCTTAATTAGTTCTTAGTACCTGGGTTATACCTGAGACAATCAGGTCTTCTGGCCCCCCGCTCTGTCCCCTTGCCCCACACTGCAACCCTCTATCATTGGCCTCTCCTGCCTATTTCAAATCCTATCCAGGCATCAAGACACCCACTCATGTCCTTCATGCAGCTTTTCCCACTGTTCCATCCCTCGCTGGCGAGCTAGCCCTTCTCTGGTTTTATGGATGTTTCTCTTATTGTTTCATATTGGTTAGTCTTGCATTCCCAAATTCAGAATAACATCTTTTTTAAAAAAAAATTATTTATTTGAGAGAGAGAGAGAACACGAGTGGAAGGGAGAGGCAGAAGCAGACTCATCGTTGGGCAGGGAGCCCGACACAGGGCTCCATCCCAGGACCCCCAAGGTCATGACCTGAACCAAAGGCAGATGCTTAACCGACTGAGACACCCAGGTGCCCCTCAGCGTAACATCTTTCAGGCAGGACTCATGCCTAGGAATCTCTTCAGCCCTCTTCCCACCCCTTTCCCCATATACTCTAACATCTTGCTGACTATAGCAGATTTTCAGTCAATACTTTGTTGGAAAATCCAGACAAGGTGGAGGAAGAAAATGCCTACTTCATCCAAGTAATGCTGCCCAAAGCGTCAGCACTGTTGCTGGACCTAACTCTCTCTGCCCATTGCTCTTCCTCAGACTCCACATGATGCCCCTACTACATTGTCACTCACTTCTTCCTCTGCTGGGTTTCTTAAATCAGCCCCGTCTCTCTAACCGTGGCCCTAAGTCAGATCCACTCACTTCCAGCCAAGGTCATGACACACTTTTTTAGCCACCTCTCCTACTCCAAGGACCGTAGCCAAATGAAAGTGTCCCCACCACGTGAGAAATCCAGCCTTCCCCAGGCTTGAAGGCAGAGGTGATGTCACGGAGACACTGAAGCTGTGGAGACTCCCCTCCCCCCACTTTAGTGCCTCAAGCCCAGGTGTCCCTACCCCTGAGCCCAGCTAAGGCTACAGAATATTGCTGCCCCCTCCCTCTACTTCCCTCAAAATGACCATGGTGCAGAGGGGACGTCTTGATGTAGCAGGACTTTCCCACCTCCATGCCTTCCTTGGTCCCTTCCCACATCCAGCTGCAAGAACTTTCCCCCCGCACCTGCGTTCCAGAGCTCTCTGCCAAGGCTGCCTCCCAAGGAAGTGAGGGGAGCCTCTAGCGGATCCAGGCATCCCGCTCCTCCAGTCCTACCACTCTTCCCTCAGGCCCGGACCGCACCCAGCGCTCCTGAACTGAACAGCCCAAGTTTAATTTTTGTCAATGAAGAAAAGTTTTCCCTCCCCCATTTCATCTTAAAATAAGGCCTAATAGATTCCAAGTAAAACATCTCTGCATTGCTTAGGTAGTGCCCTCGGTAAAACATGCCATTTCCCTTTCCCTATCAGCAGCCGGGGTCTAAGGTCTCAGAAGTTGTCTTCTCTCCTCCTCCACTCCCTCCCCACTGCCCTGACAAGGGCCGGGGGTCTTAATCCACTCCCAGCCCTCCAGGAGTCGTCCCCCTATCTCTCTCACACACCCAGGGCGCACACACACCCCGCAAATTGCTCTCCACCGTGCTCGGCCCTCCCAGGCCGCATCTTAAGCCAGGGCGTTCCCTCCCTTCTGCCTCCCCGGAGCTGTCCTCCGCCCAGTGACCCCTGCTCCTTCCTCAGTGGGCTCCGCTCCCACGCCTCTCACTCGCCGGCACCTGCGCCAGCAGCGGGGCCGCGGGAACCCTTCCACCCTCGGGCAGCCGCAACAGGTGCAGCCCCAGGTGCCAAGCGCCGAAACCTTAACCTCGCGCTCGCCCCGGGGTCAGAGCGCTCCGCCCGGCCCTAACAGCCCCCAGCGCGCCGGGGGAGTCCAGATGACCGCGCGGATCAGGGTTCGCCCTCCCTGCCACTCCACCGCAGACTTTCCTCCTGGGGCTCCTGTGCCCGGCGCGCCACTTACCCAGGGCGAGGGCCAGGAGCAGTGGCAGGGAGCCGGCGCCGCTGCCCGGGGCGGCCCGGTCCATCAACCCCACGCTGCGGGGCCGGGCAAGCCCCTGGACGAGTCTCCCGCCTCCTCCTGCGCCCCTTCCCGGGCCACGGGCGCCCGAGGGCGGGCCTGGAAACTACTCTCTCGGGCCAGCAGGAAATGAAACTACTTCTCAGGCTGGCACCCGGGCCCCTGGGCAGGCAACACCCCGGGCGGGCGGGCGGCAGGCTCCGGTAGTGTGGCCGGGAGGAGGGAGCCTCCTATTTATCCTCGCTCTTTCTGCACACACCCCAGCAGCGAGGCGCGGGACTCGGTGGTGGTAACCTCCACGCTGTTCCCACCCAAATTGCCCCACACCCACACCCACACTCGAGGACGTATTCGGGCTGCCCTCTGCCCAGCTCACCCACTCCCCCTGCTGGGTCGCACCTGACTCTCGGTTTCCCTCCCCTTTGGGGAGTAAGCCAGGTAGGTGGGGAGCGGAGGGAATGCCCGCGGTGGGGTGGTTCAGGTGCTGGGCCGGCGGGCAGTGCTTGGAGAAGCGGGCTCTGAGCTCCTCTAAGCTCCTGCAACGCACCGAGAGAGCATCAGAGCCCCCCGCGTGCCCTGAAGTCTAGTTTCCCTTATTTCAACCAACTGTTGGTGTCCCCGAGGGACCAGAGCCAACGTTCAGTGTGGTTAACCTTAGGCATTTGACAATTTACAAGCCTTTCCTTTACATATATAATTTGTTGAATATCTGGGAGTTTGGCTCACCAAGAGCTACATTAGAAATTTCATTTTCTTATGTATCCGTTTACTCCTGGATTCATTGCATTCTCCTTTATTTCAAAAATTCATGTACTGCGTTGGATCTATAAAAATAAGGAGAAGGCTTTTTGCCTGTGGCTTGCCAAACACTCTCTCTACTTCATCACACCTCCTTTTTCCGGAGAGGTGGGACCCCAGGGTTTTGCACCAAGCATTTTCTGGAACACAAAGGCACCCCCACAGCTTTCAAAGACAAGAAGCAACACCCAATGTTACCTTATGTGATTAATATGTTTGCCTCCAAAATAACTAAAGGGTACAGCTGTTTTCATGCTGATCTATATTCCTCTTGCAAGATCACTATGAAATCATGCCGCTCCCGCAGTAGAGTTGTATTTCTATAGTATCCCAAAGCCCAATAAACATTCATTAGCTATGAAATGCAGTTCAGATGTCTGTCCTTTCCTTCCCATTGTTTAAATTAAGCAAATTATTATGCACTCTTCTTCCACAAGTGACATTTCATTTCAAAACCAATTCATATTATTTTAGTGCCGCAGGCAACTGATATATCCAGGGGAATAAAACTCAGCTGTTAATTTTCAGAATCCCATTCTAGCCCCCACATGCAGCTCATAAAGCAGTGATACGACACATTAGGTAGGCATGGGGTTTAGAGAACTCTAAGGTTGGGGGATAGAAGGTTACTGTATCCCAAATAAAAAGGGCAAGTGTGGAGAAGTTAAGGGATTTGGCATCATCTCCCCCCCTCCTTTTCTTTTCTGATATTCTCTCCACCCTCCAGGGCCCTGTGTTAAGACATCTTTCGCTCTTAGGTGGTACCCTATCAAGGAACTGCCTTGCTATCCACAGAACATCACTATTTTATTTTCCTTTTCCATAGATACTAAATAAAAAATAAAGCACATCTAAGCAAAAAAAAAAAAAAAAAGCTAAATGTTTGTTGAGTATTGTCAAGTGCCCAGACTTGATGTAAGTATTCATCATTCATGCCATTCAAATGGTAAATTAACTTTTTCAGGCCACTAGAGTATGAACAAGTCTAATTTAATATAGAGATAAATTAATAGCCTTCCCTAAGGGCTTTATTTAATGCCAGAAATATTTTATAAGTACTCTGGAGAATATGACTTGCAAATTTCCTGGCATTGGAAGTCCGATCTCTTCAAGGTCAAGCCACTTTCCTTCTTCCTTCCTTCCTTCCTTCCTCCCTTCCCCCCTTCCTTCCTTCCTTCCTTCCTTCCTTCCTTCCTTCTTTCCTTCCCCGGCTTCCTTTTTTCCTTTCTTCTTCCTCTTCCCCATCTCTCTCTCTCTCTCAATTCGTTCTCTCATGGAGGAAGGTAAATCTGTGATACAACTACAAACTTTGGGAGAGTTTGACCTTCCTATGGCCTCATTCGGGTAACTGGGGTGTGTCTCAATGCTTCAGATTTTAAGCTGAGCTGTTACTAAGAAAAGAGTGGGTCAAAACTGCACCAAAGTCACAAGATAGGACTGGTATCCCCGCTCTCCCTGGCCAAGGAAATGCTTGATGGTGTCTTGCCTGGGCCAGCTTTAGGCAGGTAAAACCAGCCCTCCCAAATCTGGTATGAGGCTTGAGTGGATTCCTTTGGAAGGCCTTTACATGGGCATCTTCTCCCACACAGAGCAGCCTCCAGCTGGAACACTCCTCCCCGCCTCTGGACGGGACAACATAAGCTTGTGGTTGTTTGTGGGACACAACACAGAAACAGACACACACGTGGTGGTAGAAAGGAAAATTTTGGAATATACTGATTCTAGGTCCACCTGTATTCTCCAAACGGTCGCTTTAAGGCATTCAGTAGTATAGGAAGACTTCCTAGTGGTCATTAACATTATTTAATTCCATAAGAGTAAGTGAATGAACAGAAATATGAAGGGTGAAAAACTCTTTAAAACATAATATTTTGGAATAATGATCAACACTTTGCATTGTAGATTATTAAAGATTATTAGTATGATATATGTAGAGAGCTTTCAAATACTCCACTGGAAATCACTGAGCTAGTCTCTAAGGAAAACCAGTGAAAAATCACCATCCAAAACCTGTATCCAGGTGATTTCGTTTTACAATCTAGTTTTTCTGGGAGGAGGAGATTACTGGGGTTTTTCCTTATCTATTTTACTGTACATTCTTCTTCAGCCTTTCAGGGATCCTTTTTTAAATTAAGTTTGTTATTTTAGTTCCAGTATAGATAACACACAGTGTTATATTAGTTTCAGGCATACAGTAATGTGATTCAACCTTTCCATACATCACCCTGTGTTCGTCATGATAAGTGTACTCTTTAAACCCTATCACCTATTGCATCCATCCCCCCACCCACCTTTCCCGAAGGATCCTTTTTTTTTAAATATATATGCCTCAATTTGTTTGACTTGCCATATTTTTGAAATGGCAGCTTAATACAAATCCAATAAACCTAAGATATAATCTTCTCTACGATACTATACCTATTAGTTTTAGCTCAGCATTGTGATCTTTTCCTTTACCCATATTCATATATACACCAAAAAGATAACTTCTGATTTAAAAAAAAAAAGAAATCTGGGCTTTTGTGCTGGTCCTGGTGTAGGCTAAGTGGCAAGGCCCTAGATATCCCAACCCAATAAACCTGCCACGGTGGCCTCATCCCCTCCTACATGGTCCCAGACACTCCTCTGAGTAAGATAACAGAGGTGGAATATTATGTACAACTGGTTTTGGAGTCTGCTCATTCTGTTCAAATTGGAGCTGTGTCACTGAATGCCTGGGTCACAAATGACTCACCTTTCTGAGCCCAGTGTCCTCGTTGATAAAATGATGGTAATGATTTGCAGTTTTCGTATTCCCAATGATGTATAACTCTAAGGCAGAGATCTTGCATATTAGAAATTATTCAGGGGGCGCCTGTGTCGCTCAGTCATTAGTGTCGACCTTTGGCTCAGGTCATGATCCCGGGGTCCTGGGATCGAGCCCCGCTTCGGGCTCCCTTCTCCGCGGGAAGCCTGCTTCTCCCTCTCCCACCACCCCGCCCGCTTGTGCTCCCTCTCTCGCTGTGTCTCTCTCTGTCAAATAAATAAATAAAATCTTTAAAAAAATAAAAAAAGAAATTATTCAGTGCATTACAGTTGTCATATTACTATTAAAACCTATTTGTAGGTACATAGAAAGTAAGAACTCGCTTCCTTCACTAGCCTTCTCTTACTAAGAGTTGTAGTGGAGGGAAGGAAACAGTACCCAGCAAAGCCCTGAAGGGAAAGAAACACTGAGCCTAAAATTCTATGGATTTGGGCATTATCTGCCTCTTCATACTCCCTTAGACCCTTCCGACCTTCTTTTCCCTCCTTTCCATCCCTCCTCTCTCTTTCAATTCTCTCTTTTTTTTAAATAATTTTTTATTGTTACGTTAATCACCATACATTACATCATTAGTTTTTGATGCAGTGTTCCATGATTCATTGTTTGTGCATAACACCCAGTGCTCCATGCAGAATGTGCCCTCTTTAATACCCATCACCAGGCTAACCCATCCCCTCACCCCCTCCCCTCTAGAACCCTCAGTTTGTTTTTCAGAGTCCATCGTCTCTCATGGTTTGTCTCCCCCTCCGACTTACTCCCCTTCATTCTTCCCCTCCTGCTATCTTCTTCTTTTTTTTTTCTTAACATATATTGCATTATTTGTTTCAGAAGTACAGATCCGTGATTCATCAGTCTTGTACAATTCACAGCACTCACCATAGCACATACCCTCCCCAATGTCTATCACCCAGCCACCCCATCCCTCCCACCCCCCCACCACTCCAGCAACCCTCAGTTTGTTTCCTGAGATTAAGAATTCCTCATATCAGTGAGGTCATATGATACATGTCTTTCTCTGATTGACTTATTTCACTCAGCATCAATTCTCTTTAAAGACCAAGATGACATATAACCCAGGGTGTGATAATTTATTTAAACAGTAAACAGAAAGTACTATGTTTTGAAGGTCTAAATAAATGAACTATCTAGTTTTCCAAAGTCCAAAGAAATAAATTAATCTTTTATGGCAAAGAAATTAATGTTCAATGAGCTTATAACAAAGTAAGTTGAATATATACCCTCCAGGCTTTAGATGCTCATTCCCTCTCCTTCCTCCAACCTCTTAGGAAAGAAAAAGTAGAGAGTAAGAAGTCGGAAGCAGCAAAACTGGGAAGGAGAAGAGACTTAAGTTTGAAATAATTCTTTAAAAAGATCTTTCATGGAAGCAGAATGGTATTTTCAAGGGGTGGATTAGTAAGGAAGGTGATATCCTTGTACCATGAACATTTCTCACCTTTCTTTTGTTTTAAGGTAAAAACATCAGTATATTTGTCATTAATCTCAGTATAATTTAGTGGCTCTTATGATTCCCACAAACAATTCAGTTATGTCCTAACCTCATAATGCTTGGAGTTCAAGTTTTTTTCAGAGATAACCATATGTGTTCTTTTAATGATAGCTTTAAATTGCTTTTATGTTTCTCATAGTATAATTTTTTCCTTAAATGTTTCTTTAGCCCTGTAATATATAC